CGCGATTTCTAGGAATGGCAATTTCTGTCCTGTGAGGAAGTTTCGTGATATTTCAAACTAAAGACAGAAAGTTATAAAAACTTGAGCCAATTTGCTGTCTTTTTTTCCCACCGTGACCGGTTTCTGACTTTCAAGAATAAGATGGAAGTCCCGGCTCACTATCACGAAGCCCCTGTTCAGAGAACTCCACTACTGTCTACTATTTCTGTACCAGCGGAAATACCACCACAAGTACCTCCTAATTCTGTGCCAGCGGAATTACCATCACCAATACCTGCTTCTGCTAAACCTAATTTCCTTACACCACCACCACCAACAGAAGAGGAACGCCCAAAACTCAAGTGCAACATTTTTCACAATTGGGTAGATTCTACTGATTGGAAAGAAAGTGATCTGGCTATTATGAAACCGAAGGAAAGAGAGCGTAATGAACTTTTTTTTACTAAACGAAAGACCGAAATATATTCCAATGAAGCATGAAGATGTTGTACGATTATCACCAGCAGATAGACAAGAAATTGAGAACTCTTTAAAAATAACAAAAACACCTGAACGTTATGCTCTCAGAAGTAGACCGTAGTAAATTTTGTAAAACGTTTTGAAGAAATAAATGCAATTTTATAACTGAAAACTTGTATAAATTTTTTCCCGCAAAGGCCGATCTTTCCTATCCGCGCGACCCGCCCGCCTGAGTACAACTATGTTGTACATTAATATATGCATGCACCCAAGCGTCGCTAATGACTGACAACACATAGCACGTATATAGCAACCGCACATTTGATTAATTTTTTAAGGAAAAATATATTACAACTGTTCTAAAAGGTTTTTCCCCACATAATCAAAATATCCCATTTGTCGTAGTCGAAGGGGCAGTACAAACTAAAGACTATGCTTCGAACGGCGTGGCTTCGAGTCAGCCTCCTAGCTATTTAAACTATATGCTTCGCTGTAAGCTTTCAAAGTTTCCAGTTATTTTGAATTAGGCTCCGAGCTACATATACATTTTCCCGCCAAAAAGGACACCTGCTTTTAAATCTTGCGAGCTGGTCTTGAACCAACGACCTAAGGAACTACAGTCCTCCGCTCTACCGACTAAGCTGTCGCAAGAGCATGTTTTAATCACGCGAAAAAACAATCAAAATAGATGTTTGTTCGGTCGCGCTACCTGTCACATTTGCCCAGGCTTGCCCGAGCGACGCCTGATCTTATTCCGAGGCGTCATTGCACTAGGGTTGATGGCTCTCAAAGGAGTACCTTGTTGTGTTTGGTCGCGCTACCTGTCCAATTTGGGCTAAGGTTAGGGTTAGGGCCAGCAAAGTGACGTCATAATTTTGCATACTAATTACTTCCGACGCCAAATTAGACTTGCATACTAATTACTTCCAACACCTAAGTTTGTATACTAATTACTTCCGTCCCTATATAGGGGTCTTTTACTACTCACGTATCGGCACAGACAAACACTCGAGTCATGACGCACAGCATGGACAATGGGTTCAGATAAGAACTCAAAACATTTACCAGAACAGTATCGATTCCTTATCAATAAACTTTAATCATTCCCATGTAACATAGCCACTATAATCTTGTATAGCTGTCATTTACGTCATTGTGTATACCGTATATGTAATTGTAAACCTCGCATCACTTTCACTATGATCTACGCGTTGAAGACTGTGAACTGACAGTAGAAAGCTTGAATATAATAAATATTTCAACCAGAGACCGTGTATACTCAATATAAAAAACGATCGGCAATTTTATCTAAGAAAACTATTGTTCAAGAGAGAGAATTTCTTGTCGCAAAGAGGGACTTCGAGTTTATTTCATGTATTTTCGTGACTATGATTTTAGATAGGGGGAAAGTGTGCTGTAAAAACAAAACTATACTGATATCTAGTGAAAACTCAGTACTGTATTTGAATCATTAAAGGCTGTTGTTCTAGCTATTTACTATATACGCCAAGAGACCGTTTTTTTAAATCTTTCTGTTTGTTATTTAAAATTATGATACTTTTCGTACTTTGGTCCTGTTGCTAGTAGTAGGAAAAGGCGGGTTCTGGGCCAACCTGGTGGGTAACAACCGCCGACCACCAAAATGCTCCCCGTACCGCAAGTATCGCGGGCTCACATTTTCAAAATATTTTCGTAAAAAATTCACAAAGTGTCCATTTTTAATTATATGGGGACAATTATTCATCTCTCAAAAGTAGATATTTTTCTCAATTATCCCTCACCGCCCCTTTCCATCCCTCAGAATTCGCCGTCCTGACGTATGAAAAGTTCTTCCCATAAAAAAGTTACAATAACTTACTGCGCATGCGCAAGTCCCGAAAAATCCCACCCACCACGCATGCGCGAATTTCCGTCATACTTCATGTAACCCTCATAATATCTTCACAATCAGGCATGCCCGGGCATGTCCTTAAAAAATCTCCCCCAGACCCACGCTCTCCTCGCCCGTCGGAGTTTTTCGAAAAGTTTTGGTGAGGCCTTTCCACCAGTAAGTGATTTAAAGGTAATGGTTTTCTATATAACAAAACAGTAATGGATGCGTACAGGAGAGTCCAGCTATACTTCGAATGTTCTGAAGAATTGACGGAGTTCATCCTGGAGATGTATAGAGACATCAACTTTGAGGACGCTGGAGTCTCACCTTTTCACACGAAGGAATTGATAGGGAGATTGACATTAGGTTCGAGGATACGGAAACGGGACCGAACGCCTTGATTATGGGTGTGAACGCGATTCCTTTTGGTCCCCCGATAGGTGTTGTCGTTTTCCTCACCGTACCGAAGGATGTGACGCTTGAGGAGATAGACAACTTCAAGCTGGATGGTCCAGAGTTCGGTATTAATTTGGGACGACCTGACGGTTTTGCAGAGTCGTTGGTGTTTTCCATACCGTTTTACGTGTCCGTTCCTATGATATGGGAAATCTGTTTAGGATATGGTGGAGCGACCAATCGGGTATGGCTGTTGAGTACGAAAACATTTTCCCAGTAGCGGTATTGATGCCCTTTAGATTAAAAATTTTAATGTATTTCTTACATTAAAATTACACCACCCAGGACATGGAGGTATGAAAGTAATTATTTGTTAATATCCGTGGGTAAGCGAAGGTGAATTCCACTCATCACTTTTTCGTACTTTCAAGCCGGTAGTTAGATATATTGGTGGATTCGGAAATGGTAATAACGATAATAATACCTTTTGAACCTTCGTAAAGGCTAGTTACGTCGCAGATATTACCGTTCCGACCCATCCATTCTCTTCCAAACCTAATGCTAACTTTTGTAGGTCGACCCGTTATGTCTAATGTTCCGATTACGACCGACATGTCCCTATAGTCGGTGCAAACAATTAAAATATAACTGAATCTTGTTATCTGTAATATCCGTGGGTAAGCCTAGGTATATCCTATCTTTTGGACTTTCAAGCCAACAATCAATCACATCGACGGATTCGGAAATGGTAATAAGGATAATAATACCCTTCAAACCTTCGTAAAGATTATCTAAGTCACATATTTTGGCGTTCCGACCCATCCATCCTTTTCCAAACTTGACCCTAAGTTTTGCAGTTCGACCTCTTTCACCTATGATTGAGATGATAACCGACATGTTCTTGTAGACGGTATACTTACACAATTCCTTAATCCGATCCATCTTTTCCTCCGAACAATTAAAATATAACTGAATCTTATTATTCAATCATCTGTATGAACGGTTATTATTATTATTTTATTATTATTATTTAAAACTATTTTGGAACGGTAGCTCTTCAGGGCTCGTAGTCACCTGTTTTGCAAGAGGCCGTTTATTACAGTATTTACAAGCTATATAAAATAACACAAATATATACACGAAAACAGAGAAAACATAACGAACTTAATAATTGCATGCACTACATTTTTTTCTAAAAGTATCCTATCCTATTTGTATAGGTAATCACACGGGAAGGAGTGCAATTAATGATTAACACTACGAGTGATATTTGAAAAATGTGCCAAAATTGCACGAGCCGCCGAGGCGAGTGCAATTTGGTACATTTTTCAAATATCACGAGTAGTGTTAATCATTAATTGCACGACTTGCCCGTGTGATTATTTATTTATTATATGCATGACAAAATCGCTTTCTTTATATTTCAACTGCATTTTGTCAAAAGTTTTTAATTCTTTTGTAAGCATTTTGGTATAAACAAACTTGGGAAATGATTATAAACTCATAAAGGCACATAACTTAAGGTGGTTCGCTACAGTTTATAGAAATGTTGAAAATGCTTAAACTAGATCAGCTTTTTGAAGAGATGATGCTCTTTACAAATCGAAATTTGTATATTATATATACAGCGACAATCAAACAGTCGAAAATTGGTCAGAAAAGTGACGTCACCACTGTTGCTATGGCAACAATTACGACTCAAGATGGCCGATATTTTGGCTTTGAACGCATTTTACTTTAAAAAAAGGTCAGTTACCCCCATTTTTTATTTCAGAAAACATTTTCTTATAGTACAATACACTATCTGACCAATTTTAAAAAAATCCTGTAATGCCAAATTTTTTAAAAATTTATAAACATGGTTTTTCGGAATAATTTTTTTTGTGCACAACAGAATTTTTTTAAAATTGGTCAGATAGTGTATTGTACTATAAGAAAATGTTTTCTGAAATAAAAAATGGGGGTAACCGACCTTTTTTAAAAGTAAAATGCGTTCAAAGCAAAAATATCGGCCATCTTGAATCGTCATTGTTGCCATAGCAACAGTGGTGACGTCACTTTTCTGACCAATTTTCGACTGTTTGATTGTCGCTGTATATATAATATACAAATTTCGATTTGTAAAG